GCAATTCAAGATATGCTTTGTAATAGAGATGGGTGATTTTTGTAAGCAATACTGGCTGCTGCCCTGCTAACGTTAGTCCTAACTATTAGAGAGTGGGACTTAGACGCAGAAAGGTATGTTTAGAAAGTGTTAATAAACTTACTTACGTTTATATCCTGATCAAGCGAGTTGAACAAGTGGCACTATTAGTTCTCTGGGAAGCCATTCATATTCTTGCTTTAATGGCTAGATTCAGAATTCTGAAGGATACTTTATTACACTGTTGTAGCGGAAGATAGAGGGTTTGGAGTTAGCACAGTATCTGGCTGTAAAAGTGGAAGCAGCATCAAAGTAAATTAAATTGTGTGAGTTGTCCTTCTCTGCCTTATTCAACCAATGGGCTGTCACATGAAAGATATGAATGTTTCTCAGTTTTGGAGACAGGGTGTGGATTTTTCTGTTACATCTTTTTTTACACTGGAATAACTTAGTTTACTTCAGTGGAATCAACACTTAATTTCAACAACATGATAATCACAATATTGGTGGATATAAGAGAAAGCCTTAACGGAAAGCTTTATTTATGGTCAGTGATAGAAAAAAACAGTATAAAATGTGCTTAGTTCCCATAACTGTATTAATAGAAATATATCTGATCACTGTGAGGTGAACAATCCTTAAAAGAAAAATGTTTAAAATAGCGCATGAAAATTGAATAAAGCTAACCATTTAGGATAAGAGGTGCTAATAAGCATTTGATGTGATGGTCTTTCTGCTCAGTTTTAGTCAAAAAGATGTGTGGCCTAGTTTTGCTTTAGAGAGTCATTGATAAAAAGACTGTTGCAGAAGCCAAGCGTATAAGCAGTGGTGAGGTGAAAGAAGCATTTGTTGCATTGTACATTGTATTCTGCTCAAAAACCTGGAGGGCAAACCAAAAAACTTGAAGTAAAAGTTGTGTTAAAGATTCAAGGAGTCTAATGCCTTCAGATGAGGACTGAGAATATCTTCTTTACAGCTTCCCAATTCGCTAAGGAATTCATTGAGAATGGGGGGGAAGAGTTTAGACTTGTTAATCTAACAAAAATATGAACGGGAAAAGAACAAACTGTAAGGGGTTTTAATACCTCATAAAGAAACAGATCTCACCATTTTCCTTCCCAAGTCTCCTTCAACAGAAGTTTTTGATGTGTAGTAAAATCAAGTCAAGCAGTCTCACTGCAGACAAGGCTCCTGTGTGGATTTATAGAAGTAGAGGATGTTCCCTGAGATTTAGGGAGGACTGATGTTTTAGTTGCACAAAATTTTGCTCACAGCAAAACTTCTTTCATGTTAATTTGAATACACAGTCAGACTAAGGAATTGTTTTGCAGGTTTTTAATGTTTGCATAATTCAGCAAGGAAGTCCTTGAAGACCTAACAAAGATGGCCTCAGGCTAGTTTTTCTAATCCCCAAAAGCCACAGAATAGCAGTTGTTGCGTGGACAAGATTTCAGTTTTCTTCAAGTTTTTTATTTTCCAGTAACTTGTCGGTATGTGTTCTTGGTCCAAATGTCTTACAATCAGGCAGCAGTTTTTCAGTTCTGTTCAGACAGCCAGCACCTGCAGAGCTGAGATTCGTGTGCAGATAAGGTACACTTATTCAAAAGTTGAACAATACATCTTTGTAGTCCATGGAGCTGAGTAATTTTTGTTTGTCTTTCAATGAAAAGTGCAGATTCAAACCTCTGAAACTTAACAATTAAAATTAGCTTCACTAGATTGTAAGCAAAATTAAAGAGATCCTTGTTTTACATTTATCAAATGGTTTTACAATTTTGTTACTTACCACAACAATAATAACCAATATAAATAACTAAACACAACATTTAAATTCATTCTCTAATTGAATAAAATTTCTTGCTCAAAATAAAAGAATGTTTTTGGTTTTTTGGAACTACCAGTAAGTTAAAATATAGTTCCATAGTTCTACAGCTTCTGCAAATATCTAAACTTACAGGTTTTTTGCAGTCATTTCTGAAATGGTGCTCAGCAGCTTGACCTTGTCACCTTTCAGTTTAACATGAAAGCTCGTTTTGTTGGTGATGGAATTTTCTTCAGTTTAATTTTTTTCTTCTTTTTTTTCTTCTTTCCTTTATGTAAGAAATGTAAGGAATATCAAGTCTTATCTTTTGCAAGTGTTTTATATGACTAAATGCAAGATCTACATGCTCAAAAAGAAATAGTTAATGAGGGCTAAAACTGTAACAATATTAGCTCCAAAACATTAATTTTTGTCATTGTTAAAAAAATTGGTAAATACAGAGGTTTTCACAATCAGGCTAAGATGACTTAGGGAAGTGGTCGAGTCACCATCCCTGGAAGTATTTAAAAGACGTGTAGATGAGGCGCTTAGGGACATGGTTTAGAGAGCATGGTAGTGTTGGGTTGACGGTTGGACTTGACGATCTTAGAGGTCTCTTCCAACCTGAATAATTCTATGATTCTATGATTCTATGACTTTCAACCACTCGATGTTAAATTTTGTCTGTTAAGGTTTTATCATTGCTCCATCTGCCTGGTACACAGACCCAATATTCTAACTTCTATTCTAAAGATCAAAGATTCTATATTCTAAAGATCAAAGTTACAAAAAACTCCACATCTGCATTTGTGAAAGGGAGGGAAATATGTATAAAAGACCAGACTTTCCAGGAAGTAAGGCTGATTATCAGCCCATCATTTTCATCTAATACAGGGATTGATTAAGGTTGAAAAAAATGTTAGGATTAAAAATGAGTACTTGTCATTGCCTGCTGTACTCCACTGCTTTCTGCATCAGCACCGTTAGCTTTCAGAGAAGGCAGCAAAAGGATAAAAATTTTAAATTATTCTATTTTGTCTATCCAATCTCCTGTTGACCAAGGTTAAAAGAGAGTTATAGCAGTGTTAAGCATATCAGGGAGTGGATGTCTGGTTCAGTGTTGTGCTGTCAGCTGTACGTTTCTCTCCATATTTTAAGTTATTTCTTTCTGTATTTACTGACTTTCAGGCTAAATGCATTAGGTTTTTCTTGTGGTGCTTTGAAAATTTGCTGACAGGAGTGATGGCGTGGTGTGTGGGTGGGGGGAAGCACTGAGATATAAATTGCCTGGGAGGAAAAAAAGGGATCATTAAAGGTCTCGGCACACAGCTTAGGCTATGAATGATTCGTAGTGAAGTTGGTTTTAGGAGAAAAAGTAATTCTACCCAGACTGAAGAGATTGTATCATTTTTATCAATGGAGATGAGTCTGGTGGCTTGTGCCCTGCTGAGTTTGGTACTGAGCAGCTGTAGTGGCGGGGGACAAGCTAAACCGGTAAGATAGAAGAAGGGGAAATCATCCACCTTCCTCTTTTTCCTGTCTATTCTGCATCAAAAGCAAATGAACAGTTTCTTACACTGACTTGAAGACATCAAGGGAAACTGATTCTTCATGCACTAGAAGGAAAATGGGTGCTACTGTGGCCATAGATGGTGGCTACAGTTGGGTGACTTCTATTCCTGTATGGGATAATGGCTTGAATCCATAGCTGCTATGCTGAGCTTTACTAATCAGTTTTCTTTCCATTAAAATTGTTGTAACGAGAAGCCACTCAACTTAGAAAGAATACATTTGTCCTAAAGGATTTATGGTGAAGAAGGAAACTTGCTGAGTTCAAAGGCGGTACTTGGTATTATCAATTATCATTGAGCCTGTCGCTCAATGATGTTTGACAAGCAAGTCTCTTGTTTGAGACAAGCAAGTCTCAAATGTTGATAGTAATCAGTGTTTTAAATATGATAATCCATCTTTTGAAAGGACGGTGTCAGCTCTTTTCTGGAGAGTAGGATGGTAGTGTAGAGCCAAAGCAATAACTCCTACCTATTACAGGAAAAGATCCCTTAGTACACGATTCTGCTCCTGAGCTGAGAAAGTGGTACAGCATTGCACCGGCAGATCTTCATAATCTCAGTGCTGTATTGGTTGAAAAAGAAGTTGAAACACAATTTCAGTCCTATTTCATGAATATAAGTTGGAGCCTCAACACAGATGGTAAGTTTGTTGTCACCGTGGCTTGTGGGGATCCTAAGGAGAATAAGAAAATGAACTGCAGGAGGTAATGCCAGAAATGTGGCATGAGCAAATAAAAGGTATCCTACTGCCTTTCAGTTTAACCATCAAGATTTAAGATAGATAATTGTTCTGAAGGGATTGGTTTGTATAAACCTACATGCTTCCCATCAATAGAGGTATTATCTCCTGGATTGATCAATATATTAACTAACTTTGTGGCTCTGGGTGCATCGTTGCAGTGAATGCAGCCAGCCCCTCTAAGCAGTGAATACATGTTCAGTAAAGCTTTTGATTTGTTGATGACTTGCTTGCAGTCATAAATACACAAGATACTATGCCATTGGGAACCATGGACAGGACAGGACATTTGTCTTGTAGGCAAAAGTACTATGTTGAGAAAAAATAGCCAAGCTTTTGGGCATCAAACCTGTCTTTATGTTAAAAATAAAAGCAGTGGATGTCAAAGCTAAATACAAGCTGGGGAAAAATGGAGTCTAGGGAGGAGAGTATCTTGCTGATATTCTCACAAAAGATAAGGTAAGTGTTATTTGTGGAGTGCAGAGGACATAAAGGTAGCCTGTGGACATGGAGAGGTGAGAAATTATAATATCCTATAAAACTTCAGAGTCCACTTTTCCCCAGCAGAATTATGAATTCTGGTTCCCAGATCTGGGACCACACTTGTTAGAATATAAGATATTTTATATAGGATTTTCTGCCTTTAGTGGGATGTTATTAGGTCTGCAATGAAAATCACTTTATTAGAGCTGCAAGGACAGACACGGGTACAAAGACACAATGGAAGTATACCTGTGACTGAGTGGATAGTGGAAAAGCAGAGAGTATTACTTAGATGTTTTGTGCTTTAATAACTTGGATGTTTTTTGCTTTAGAGTGATCAGCATGGCGTGAACTGGATACAATTTTAAATACCTATTTAAATTCACAGGCTGTAAAGATAATGTAATGAAATACAGCAAAAGTTGTATTGAAATGGGTAAGTGCTATGTACACATATAGACATCATACCGAAGAGGGAAAAATGACTCTTCAGAAGTGTTTCACAATATCATTGTGCTCTACAACTACCTGAAAGGAGGTTGTAGTGAGGTGGGTGTCGGTCTCTTCTCGCTCGTAACTAGCGATAGGATGAGAGGAAATGGCCTCAAGTTGCACCAGGGAAGGTTTAGATTGGACATTAGGAAAAATTTCTTCACTGAAAGAGTGGTCAGGCCTTGGAACAGGCTGCGCAGGGAAGTGGTTGAGTCACCATCCCTGGAGGGATTTCAAAGACGTGTAGATGAGGCGCTTAGGGTCATGGTTTAGTGGGCAGGGTGGTGTTGGGTTAACGGTTGGACTCGATGATCTTACAGATCTTTTCCAACCTTAATGATTATATGATTCTATGATCATCTTTGCCTGAATATTGAATAGGGTCTAAGACCTACTTCTGAATCTTTCCCTGTATCATACTCACGGCTTTAAAATGGGAATTTTAAGAATTCTGTACAGGTTAATTTAGATAACAATGCCATATTTTAATCTGTGAATATGGGATTGAGAAGTTTTCTTGGTTTCTCTGAGATCATGAATTTAGTCTAGTTACTGGCTGGTACACTACGACACAAGCAAAAGTACCTTTAGTAGACTAAAATTCCTTGCAGGTTTGAGCATGCAGATGTGTCATTAATATTAAGTACTACTGTTTCTAAATCTTTTGGAGGTTTAATGGGCTAGATATTTTTACCACATACATTTTGAAGCAACAGTGCCTGAATTCAAACAACTGCAGGGGGTCCCTGTTGTAACTAACACTTCTGACTTGCCCCTTAAAAAGCACAAACACTCTGTTAGGTCATAAGGTGCCATCTGCAGGGTGTACGGCACCTATCACAAGCACAGTTATAGCAGAAATCCATTTCGTCACTTACATAGTTATAAGCAATTTTAAACTGAAATCTTTTCAACTCTCAGGAAGTTTGTGGAATCCGAATATAACTGTTTGTAAAATAGAGACAGAATTAGACGTGAATTTTACAACAAGCAGTCTTGGGCTTGAATATTTAATACTGCTTTATGAGAGTCAAAAGCATGAAGTACTTCTTGAAAAAAACATGGAAGCAAAGGTAATTTTCTGTTAAACCATAATAAATCGAAAGCATAGTTCTCTAACTTCTCCTTCTGTATTAGCAGAGCAGGAGGCATATGCTTCCAATGAAGTCAAATCAGGAGAGCTGGCCAGGAAACACCGAGGAGATGGTCTAAACGAACTGTGGTTGCTTCCAGAAGAGCTCTGCTCCACTGTTACAATATGTTATTTGACTTTTTGAGATGATGTTCTTTATTTTTAGGAATGTTTTTAAACAATATTATTTTATTCAGAATAAGATTAATCAACAAACATGAAAACATAAGAAAATATATAGTAACTAGTTAATTAGTCTTCACTAACATGAAATGCACCTTGCTTGTAATTTCTACTAAGATATTCACCGTTTTGTTGTATTAGACTAGTAGATTTTAAAGATAAATATATGCACTATCTATAATTCTGATGTTAAGAATATAATAGTTTTAAAGCCTATTAAATGCAATTTGAAATGCACTTAAATATTAAATGTGATTTAACTTAGTAATGACTCCTTTTGTGATAAATGTCTTTGACTTTTTTTCTCCCTCCCACACTCTTCTTCGTGATTTCATTTCATTATTGGATAAATGAAACTAGAATTTCTGTGAGGATACCAGGGAGTGATGAGAGCACTGATATTTTTGTAGAGGTAAGTAACATTTTTTATTTATTTTCAGGGAAAAGAGTATTTGCTTTTATATAGTTAATTGATGTGAAGAGTGGTACTAAATCTGACTAACAAACAAGACACAAGCATAGCACTATATTTTTTTTCTTATTAAAATTTTTTTTACTTGGTAGATATCAAGCCTCTTCTCATGGTGGTAATTCAAGTCTATATTGTTCTGTAGAGTGTCCCTGTGCTATAAAGCTTACAGCAAACACACCTGATACGTTTAGACTGCATTTTCTTAGATTCTTACTCATCTCATGAATCTCTCTTCACTTTTGTTATTTGTATCAGTTGTAAGGAAACTATCTTTCAAGAAAATCTGTAACAGTTTTAGGAAAAACAGTACTCCTGTCAGCAGCCCAAACCACAGTACAGAAGGAAATATATGCAAGGAATTAATCTGTGCAGAAATCCTGTTTAACTATGTATTGGAATTATTCTACTTTTTTTTTTCCCCCCGATAATTCCTTACTTTGCTAAGTGTGGATGCAACTGCCCAGGGTCTGCAGAAAACCTAACAAACTGCATGCAGATGAAGGCCAATGGCTAGTCGAGTATTTATCACTCTTGAGTCAATATTCAATGCAAACTAAACAGAAACTGCTCAATGTTTTCTGTTGCATTATGTATCATGTATATTCAGCAGATTTTCCCCTGTATGTTTGCAAAAATCTGGGAAAATAAATGTTTTGCTATACAGATATCTGAATGTCAAAATCCTGTTAAAAAGCAGATGACTTTGGTCTTAGATGACTTTATGTACACTGGCCTTGGCAAATTTTGTCTTTCATCTTCCTCCTCTTAAAAGTTGGTTTTGTGCTTAATACAGTAATGTTGCAGTTAAGGAATTAGTTATTTTGTAACTATTGCTCATGGTAAAACTCTAAACAAAAGGGAAGAGAGGAGAACAACTGATGAAATGTCAGGCTGCAGGCAGAGGTACATTCCAGAAACATGGGAGGAACTTGAGGGGAGGAAATTCAGACTGATATGTCTTGTTTCTTTCAAAATAGGGAAGAAAATAAAGTAACTTAGTCAACAGCTCTGTAGTTCTCAATGTGATTATTAACCATTTTGCATTACCTTTTAGCATAATTTCTCTTCCATGTACGGACATTGGAAATGCTCATTTCAGTAATTCATTAACTGAAGACAGCTTTTTCAGCTGTGCAAGACTTGTCTCAAAGTCATTGTTCTTTGTCTTTTAAGGAGACCCTCACAATCAATTCAGTTGGAAGATTGTGTGTTTTCTCCTCGCTGCTCTACTTGCAAGAGTATGTATTATTGCTGTGGTAGCTTGCGTTATCACAGACCAAGGTAAGTCCAAGGTTCTCAATTTTTGAACTTTATTATTTCTGTAATTCCTGTTCTTTGAGTTTTGCTGCAAGCATCCTTTTAAATGAGATAAGATCATATGAAAGAGACTACCTTCTAGATATCATTGTAATAGAAACTCTCTCAAGTTTGTTCAGGAAACTCCAGATGTAGCTGCATTAATGTTTTAGTTTAAATCAGTATTGCACTTTTGAAGGGAATTGCCCACCGGCTTCACTACAGTTGGTTCATATTGCAGGGTGGTTGTGGAGTGCAGCCTTGATCCTCTCAGATGAAATTAAACTGGAAGAGGTGCTCTAATGAATCTAACATAGTCCAACCACTAATGGGTATGCAGGCCACCGGACTGGACTAGGGCTAGGCTGCAGTAACTCCCCTGAAATACTCTGTGCAGAAATCTGTTCCTCAGCCCTAATTGTTTTGCTCTGTGGTCTCTGCCATTCTACTGCACTACCTGCTAATGTAGGCCTAGCCTTTTTTCTTCCATTGTTTTTTTCCTAAATGGAGAGTAAATATTTAATCTCTCAAACACCTGTAAAACCAGTGAATTATTTACAGTGTGGACAATTTTTGGTTAGCCCCTTCCTCTTTAGCAAACATCACCTGAGGTCATGTGAGCATTTTGCTGTTTAATTTTTGTTTGCTTAGCACTTTTTTTCACAGTATTAGTTTTGCAGAATGACTAACAGATTAAGTACCATGCCTCTGCTACCCTCCCTCTTCTCATCAGTCTGTAATGCAAGGCTGCTCCCTTGGTGTAGTAGACCTTACACTGTTCTAGCTACTGAACACTGTTTTGCTAAATCATTTTCAACATTCTTGGAGAGATGAAGTGCAGATAAGTTGTCTAAGTTGGATCTATTTTGTCATGAAGATGGGAATCTGAGCTCTAAATTCTAATTTTAGTTCACTATTTTTGCTTTTCATACTTATAAATGTATCTAATTTTTTCTAGAAAAAAAAAAAGAGGCACAGAATCAACCTCTCCATACCAATTTAGAATGCCATTCAAATTTTGTTTACATTGTTTCTAGAAATACTGACATTTTAAGAGAGCATATGGTGTCTTTTTTGTTAAACAGATTAATTTAGGAGGCAATTCTTCCACGGGTGCAGCTACAACTACAAGTACTGGTTATATATCCAGAAGAAGTGTTTTCATCACACTGTCCTTTCTTTTGCTGAACTCTTGCATGAGGGCTGCCAGAATGATGTTATTCTAGACATGTGGGAGAAAAGGAGAATTGCTGAAAAAGATCCTGTACAATGGCTTGCTGCTCAAAAAGCAGCAGCAAATGGGGTGATTTTCCTCAGTTCAAACCCTACCACTGCTGCATGTGATGTTTCTTGTAAAAGCATAAGAAACAATAACATGGAAAACATGTTCATTCTTGCAGTTAACCTCTTCTGCAGTGACATGACAAAGCAGTCCTCTGTACAAAAATATATGGTTGTTTCTTTCAATGAGGTGAGTTCACAAGACACTTTACCAAGTGCTCTGAACTTCTGTCCAAAATACTGTCTTATGAAGGACATTGAGAACTTCTGCAGAGACCTTTCTGTTTCATGCAATAAGGGGCATGCCAAGAAATAGGAAATTAACACGTGTCTGGATATTGAACTCTAGTCTTACAAAACTGAGGAAAAAAGCATCAATAGCTGAACAAACAGTAGGGCACTGTAGCTACTGGGTCATAATACAAGCTTACTTACTTGAAATAAATCCTGAACAAAACATTCCTAAGTTGTGGCAAACTAAGAAGTGACTTCCATAATAAGAAATGAAATAAGAAGTTTGTGCTCAAATAAAACTGTCAGTCAGAAGTAATTGGTTGTGTAAATACCAGAACATGGACCATCAAGTAATTTAGAAGCACTGCTCTCCTCTGTGTAGAGTTTGTGAAGCTAACTGATGGGAGCCTCAAGTGCAGTTAAGCAGCACAGGTTTTCCAACATGACTTAAAGGCTGGTTTTGTGATTTGTTACTTTGTTGAGTTACAGTGTGCATTTACAGCATGTTTGATATGCTGTTGTAAGAATAATGTAGCTTTTAAAGTGGAGTAATTTACCTCACCCTTCAGTGTTTCCAAGTGTCAGCACCCACTGACACGAAGTTGTGAAATGTTTGCCGTGGAGAACCATTCGTATATCAACAAATCTAAACAAGATCTTTGTATATATGTTCTTTCTTTTCTGTATCACAATCACGCGACTTAAAAAAATACATTTCTTCTATAGCAGGAATTCTGGACTCTTTTCTTGAAGGGAATGCCCCCTTCTCCCTCAAAAAAACAAACCCAGCAATGACATCTAATCTTGCCAGAGTAAAATTTGAAGTACTGTATGCTACCTTCAATAAAAGAGAGCCCAAAGGTCCTAGTCTTAAATAAAATACAAGAATGTAATCACAGCAGCAAAATACTTTCAGATAAGATTACAGCATAATTTGGGTGGAAATATCTTTTCTCTTTAGAACTTTTAATGAAAGCAGATTAAAAGGAAGTCAGTTCTTTCTCGTGTGCTTTGTAGAAACTACATTCGTTGATCTTTGATATTTATTGTATTGTTAGAAGTATTTTAATAGTTTTAATCTAGATTATAATTGCAGATATGGATTTGAGGTGTGATCTGAGGGTGGCGGGAGCCTTCATTACAGAAGAAAAAAACCCAACAATATCACTTCTGTAACTAAGGATTATTTGTCGGGAGAAAAAGCCCATGTGCCTGTACCACAGGATTGAGGTTGGTGCTGGCTATATAAAAATGCATCTAGTTCTTTTAGGTGTTTTTAAATAGGGAGAAGAGTGGACAACTACCATGGATAATGAAAAGCTAGCAAGAGCTTTTGATGAATGAGAACAGGCAAGAAAAAATACTCCACTTTCAAATTTGTAAGTCTTTCCACTGAATAATATAATTTATTATATAAGCAAAATACCAACAGCAACTGTCGTTTGGGTTCTCCATTTCACTTTTTCCATGATGATTGCTTATATAACAACTTTATCTCCTGGTAACATTAGAGTATGAATCAGAATAAGGCATTAAACCCACAGCCTGCACTCTTCAGCTATTGCTTCTGTGTACCTGTATCTAGAATGAATCTTGGCTTACCATCTGCCACGCCAATATTTTATACCTCAAATTCCCCACACTGTGCAATTTTAATATACCTAACCTATAAAATATAAATGTAGTGAATTTGGAGATGACTGTGATAGTCTGTACACAGACTTCAATGCATACAGTTCAAAAGATGAAGTATAGCAACGCTGAAGACTTTTGCACCACTTTTGGAAAAAATCTCAGTTGAAGTTAGTTTTAATAAAATACAAAAATATCTATCAGCAGAAGATCAGTACATCTGCACTGGAAAAAGGGGGCATTTGGGGAAAGGAATCCTCAATTACTCATGTTCCACTGTAAACATACCCATTACCATACAAATGCAGCTCGCTCTCGTAACATTCTGACACCAAAACGCTGCCATTCTCGCTGATAGATCCATAGCTCCTGAGTTGTATCAAGACAGGCTAAAACTGCACCTCCTTTCCATGCGATTAAGCGGGGATCCATATCCTAAATTCAAAACACAGATTTTACACAATCACTGGTGTAAATTTGCGTAGTTCTCAAAGCTTGTATCCTAATTTTTCCAACAGTATTCACCACTTAGAATCTTGGGGGTGAAGGGAGGAGAAAAGTTTTTCAAAATTATTCAGGAAAAATTAGTGAGATAAAAATATGGAAAGAATATTTAAAGTGTTTAGAGAAGTCACTTCGTTTTTTTTAAGATGCCTTCTAGGCATGTCATGGAAATCCTGCCCTCAGCAATGGAGGCTCTGAAAAATACTCAAGTTTTGATTTTACAAATTTTGCCTGAGTAATGCCAAATGAAAATTGCTCTTTTAAGGCCATACTTTCTTTTACTTTAATAGTAATAAAAAACCCTAATACAATTTCTTGCTGAGCAGACAGGTTAACTTCACGGGCCAATACTAACTGCTTTTTTAAGAATATGGCCTTTAGCTAATAAACACTTCAGTGATCAATACTAGTAACACTCTTGCTATACTTCTAACTTCCTGCCTATAATTGGAGAGTGCTATGTCATGAGCTGAAAGCTCTTCTAAATCGCCTCAGATATGCAACTAATCTGTGGTTTTGAAAGAATATATATATTTTTTTAATCTTTTGAAGATTTCAACCAATCATAGTTTATTAACCATTTAGCTATCAGTTAACAGTATACCTTAGGTCTTGTGATGACTTCAACATTTTCAACGACTCTTCTAAAAGAAGGTGGCATTTTGTTGAGAATTCGGTGTTGAAGAAACTCTTGAGCTTTATGAAACATAAGGCCTCCTCCCACTACTAAAATGGAGCTGTACATCTTCTTTTTTGTATCATCAGATGCTGGAATGAATGGATATATAGAAATATATCTGTTTTTTAAAGTTAATACGGCCTGTATTTGTATTATAAAGAATTTAGTGCAAGTCAAACCAGATAGAAACGAGTAAGTGTTTGCTTTTAAAATTCTTTTTCTATTCCTTGGAGATTCAAAATGTCTAGCTCAAGAAACCTCAACAAAGATGCAAGTATAAGGAACACTGTAGCTACTCTAGAGATGATGAAAACTTAGGGACATACGTGTTACTTTGGTAAAATACAGGAGTTACCATAAATCCACACTAACTGACATGCATATTTTACAGAATTGTACAAGTGTAATTCTTACCACAGCAGTCAATACTATGAAGAATGGCTTTGTCAAGGCCCAAGGCTTTGCCTTCAAACTGAGAAATAGCTGTTTTCCTGGACATGTGTGCAGTTAAAGGTTCCTCTGAATCATTTCCAGATATCATACAATCACTCTGGGAGGATCCCAGTTCCACTTCTTGTGGGTAGATCCTCTCTGAAACGTCTGAGGCTTGGCCTCTCAAGTCTCCCTCAAATGCACCAGGCTTCGACATAGATTTTCTATCAGCTGTAGCTTTTGCAGACTTAAAAATGAGAAAACAAGTTGAACTATGAAAAATGCAAAAAGATCTTCAGCAGGTTACAGAACAATACAAAGACTTAACTAAACACCACTGTACTTCTCGTCACCTTTTTGCACAGAAAGGTTAAGCATTGTATTATTTCATTTTAATCCTCACTTTCAAAGTAAGGGTTTTATTCTGAACTCTATCAGATATATCAATGCCATGACATGAAGTCCTCTCAGACTCTGAAAATAAACAGTTCTAATTAAGGACTTGTCTAGACACCTGTAATTCCTTACTCTAAATTTATTTTTTAATGCTTCTGGCCCAGATAACAAACTTTGTTTTCTGAGATGAGCTAATGAGTCCTGATTTTGTTCCCCAATTAAATAATGCTTAATGAAAAATAAAATGAGCATTCACACACCTGCTCCTGCTTACTTTGTGTGGCTAGCAGATAATGTTCATCATGAGGATCCTCAGGGTCACCTTGTGACCTGTGTTGCAAAGTTGTCATTTTTTGTCCAACAATTCCAAAAGTTGCTGGATAAAACAGAGCCATTGGAGCCTGAAGAATGAGAGATTTATGGTTTTACTACATAGTTGTGGGTTTTTTTTCGTATTTATTATAAAAAAAGAAAAAGCTTGTTCTGTTTCTCTCACAATTCAAAATAAAATACACATTTTTTTCAAATAGTTTTGTAAAAGGCTAAAGTGTCTCCAGCTTTGTATAATTAAAAAAACCCCCAAACATACAATTTTTTTGTGTGTTTCTTTACAGATTCTGGCATTGTACGGTAAGTATTCAAATGCAGTTTGTTACAAAATTAGAAAATTCAATGGTGAGGTGAAAAATGTGCAAAATTAACATTCATTCTTTGTCCTTGAAAGATAAAAATCATCATATTTAGTTGAAGCTACAACCATTCTGGCTAAAGCTAGTTAAGAAGTCTTGTGCATCCACTAGTGCTGCATTAGGCCCATTCATACATATAGAAATTAATTTTAAAACTATCAACAGCATATGTTAAGAACAATCCATAAATCATGTGGGCTTAGTAGCACTGGACCAATACAAAGTAAGGCCCTGAGCCTGAATGCTGAATATAATCCTTGTAATTTAAAAAAAAAAAAAAAAAAAAATCACCTGTAATTTTTCATCTCCTAATCGGAACTGGTATAATAAAGCTGGAGAATCTGGATGACGAATCTGGAACTCATGGTCTTGCAATCCAGAAATATCCTAAGGTCGAAAACAATGTATCTTTTATATCTCTCTATCAAGCTGCATAATCTATTTAAACTGTAGGAAACAACAAAAAGTAACAAAACTCTTTAGACTGTGAATTTCATTTACCTATTCTTGAACTCCTTTTAAAGTCTTTTCCCTGTAGCACAATCTGCCAAAACAGCTTTCTACATGCCTAAGCCTCTAGGGTTTGTGCAGAAAAAAGAGACCTGCTGGCAAATCTTTCAAAACTAAATTTGAAAAACAGCCAATCTGCAGCTACTATCAGCTTCTTTCAGTAATAAGAACAAAAGAAACTACCCTTCTAAGAGTTGGGATTCTTTCAACTAGGAGAAAAATAAAACAAGTTACAAATACTTCAAGTCTAAAGTTTCTACAGCTTTTGCCAGTATTCTACTGAGTAAAATATTACATTTTATTCCATTTACAAGCAATTGTAGACTTGCAAAAGGGTTCCCCAGAGTAGCATTCTGTAAAGGAAAAAAAAAATTACTTGGAGAATATACCATTTTCCCTTCTCACCTGGTCTAGATGACAAAATGTCTCCTTTAAATGCTGAAGCAGCAGGCAATCCAACTTATTAGTTAACTGACAGTCTCTATATGGGAATCCTGCTCGTTGCATAAGCCAATAAAAACACCTTGACACATCAGATCCTCCATATGCAAGACACAGCCTAAAGCACAGAAAAGAAGAAGATTATTTTATTAATTTGCTGAAATACTGGCCTTCTACAGTAGCATATATAGGAATACAAGCAACATTTTAGACATGCTGTGATCATGACCTCCATGTAGTTTGCAGAGCACAGTATCAGTTCTGCCTGTTTTCTTCTGTTAAAGATGTCAGAATTTTTAAAGGTTCATACCGAAACATGATGACCCTGTCACACAGCTCACAGTAAAAAAATCTTGTATTTGTAAAAAAAATTTCTTGTTTTCTTACCAAAGTCAAGTCTTTGGTAAGCAGCTAAGTATATGTTTATCTGCATATTAAAAGATACCTGGTGTTGCGATGGGAAACACCATCTTCTACACAGCAAACGCTTGTCTTCTGATCTCCCACATCTACGATACACGCGCTGCTTAAACCGCTTCCAAAAGTAGCACAGACAGACTCCTGGTGTACAACAATTCCTAGCAATATAAGAAAAAACTATATTCAATTTATGCCAAGCTCCAGAGCCATGTTGCTGACATTTAAAGGACATCTTAATGTCTTAAAATCTGCTAATAGCCTGACTCTGCACTGAAAGTCTGTATATTTAGTGAAGATGGGGTAGGGGGGATTTACAGATTTGTTGTGGGATAGGCCCTTAAAGTCCTGAGAAAAGCTAAGAGTGGGGTGGATGCCTATATTCAAATGTTCTTATTTTTTGCAAGTTTAAAGATACTGCCTCCAGACTTGACTTGTTTTGGTAACCACTATTGCAGGGTCTTGGTTATCAGATGCACATGAAGCATTTTCCTAATTTTTTCTAGTTTTAATCAAGTATCATTACCATTAGCATTTTAGATATGTTCTTTAGATAAAATGTTTAGATATGTTCTTTAATAATAAAATGTTTAGATATGTTCTTTAAATAAAACAAGGTCCAATTTCACTGTTTGCTTTCCTTTCAATCCATCTTTAATTCTGTAAAAGTGTACCTTTGTATTTGTATCACAAGCCCATACTTAAACCTAAGAAGTACTGGAGGCTTCAGTCTATCCTTCTAGCCACTGAAGAAAAAGAATAGCTCAACTGAGCTGTGCTTTGTAGACAAAAACTAAATAGAATTACTTTTTTAAAGGCAAATGTTTTTAAATAGATTAAGAGAATTTAGTTATGCTGTATAATTAATTCAGCTCTTCATCAAATTATTATTTAGGAAATGGCACTCTGAAGAGTTATTAATGATACTTTCTGATTTTCACTTTCATGTATCAGATGAATATGAAGCTTTGTATTTTTTTCTTTGTATTCTTCCTGTTCCTCTGAAGCTAACACATTTCAACTGCAAATTCTTCTATCCTAGTGCCAGTACACTCTTACATAGTAGTATTATTAGGTACTGTTCACAATTCTTCTATGTAAAAACTGAGGAGGAATCAAACAAAGATTTAGAACGATTCTGATCAAAAACTAAAACTAACAGCCAATATGGCTTGTTCATTTTAACATAATGAAACAAATCAAATATATATATTTGCATGTGAGCAAAATTTAGATCTCATGAGATCAGTCTCTCTTTTTGCAGTGTTTATTTACCACCTACTTAATTCTTTCAGATGGGAAGCAATAATATCTAAGCACATATTCTGCTGAGACAAATACTTGGGAACTGCTTGCACTTCGTACCGATTAATAATTAAACAGCAGTATTAATCTCCAACATCTTACAATTAACTTATTGTTTGACTAGTCTCTATCATTTAACTTACTATTCTTGTCCACTTTTTAAACCTCTTTCCTTGCATACCTAATACAATAAAGAACTTTGCAGCACCAAAGGTACTACTACTCTGATTATTTCAAATTAAGTACGCTCCATATGGTTGGGTTACTGTGCCTTCCGAAATGATTTGCCGTGTTTTCTCTAAATGGGAAATCAGAGAAAGTTGGCTAAGACTACAGCAGTTCTTTCCAGAAGACTAGCCAGAAACTTCCAGCAGTTTAACTGAAAGGAAACTGCATTACTCCTTTTCATCAGAAGGCTTTCCAGTCTAAAAATAAATATGCAGAAGAAGCTAACAATTACTTGGTTATTTTTTAAAAATCGTATTGCTTTTCTATATTTAGTGTACGCACTTAAGCAATTCTGAAACCTCCTATTATGTCATACTGTAGAAAGGACAGTAGCAGCATCTTACATCATATACTTCTGTTCTGAAGTCTTGATACTCTGTGGAGTTAACAGTGTGCATTTTAGAAATACTTGAGAAACCAGACTGTTGCTACTTTTATCTCAGCTGAAGTGAGAAGCCCACGGTTGGAATACCTAATAGCAAACCAAGTAACTTGTTTCAATGCTAGCCAACCATTTTGCCCCATTAAGAGACAACAGTTATGGGAATAGCAAAAGATGAAAGGTGCTAGTCCCAGGCAAACTGTGACTGATGTGCAAAAATGTGCCTTAAACGTAAAAAAAAAAATCTTTACACTATTAATCATTAAGTGCTTGCTTATGTATGGTTTTACCTGAGAAGCCCATCTTCATTAGGATCATATTTACCAGTTCTTTCACATGTTGTTTATTATAGATGTCTGGAATTAGTAAAATGCATCTGTAGTACTGAAGATAAGAACAGTAAATTAAAGCCAGCTCTCAAACAAAATTTCTCTTTACATTCTTGAATACCTGATGCTAAGGAAGAAAGCGTAATATACAAGTTATTAAAAGAAGCAAAATTATGGAAAGGGGGAAGGGTTTTAATAATTTAAAAAATGAGTTCAGAGTAAGTATGAAGTTACAAGTTTATAGGTCACCAAAATGTTTAAAAGTACATCAGATATGAGAAAAACACCTACTAGGCAAGAAGATTAAATTATGCAGGTATTAGGCACCCATTCCTCAGTTGCCTCCTTTTGAGTCAATAAAAAAATCCCAAACAGACTGAGAATGAATTTTCCATAACGGGATTTCCAAACCTCCTTAGTAGAAGTTCTATTAACAATTTTTGTATTAAAGACATGCACAAAGTTCCAAATGAAGTCTTAGGAACCATGCTCATCAGCAGAAAGAATGTATTCTTTAAGAAAACCACCAGTAAGAGGCAGGTTGCTTCTCTTTTATAGTAACGTTTGCAGGAGTGATACAGCCCACATTAATGTGTTCACAGCTCACCTTTAAGTCTTTCAATGGTATTTCCAAATATTTTTGTATTGCATGTGACCATATAACTTCAAGGTCTGCTAATACTGCAGTGAGGGAGCCACCAGGTCCTGTGTGGAGATTCAACTGCCCTCTTCTAATAGGCCAATGTATATTATAAGAATCTAGTGGATTGACATACAGTGCCTGAAAATAAGAGACAATGTTCTATGCATTGTTTTTCCCAAAAGATTAGTAACAAATACTAGAAAAATATTTCAGAAGCAGATACAAGACATACAGCAGCACTCAGACCGATGTGACAGCAACACAGTGGATTTCTTTTTAACAGGGCTTGATTATAAAGCATGAAAATAAAAAAGACATTAAATACATGGTTTAAATTGAGTTTTCATCTCCATGGTCATCTACTATGAACATAACAGTATATTTTTCCATTATCTCAAATTAGTAACTAAAATAATGTAAAGACTTTTTGAAGCTCATGAATACCTAATTACTCAGCAGTGATTCCATGTACTGATCCTTTTGTCAGTTTCTTGCCTTTTCTCTGAATTATACCACATGGGCAAAGTTCTCACCTTGTCCCTGCAGAAACACTGATTTATAGCAGCAAAGGATCAAGGTACTTGCTAGGCAAATGGGGGAAACTGTTTGGTCTTGCTGAATGATAATAAATATTCAGTTAGTCCATAGTAAAGCTTCTCCTTGCATTGCTTGACTATATTTATATGCCTTTCAATACATAGTAACATACAGCAAACTGCTACTGATTACATAGCCACATTAAAACATAATCAGCAGGAAAATGAATCTTACCTCTTCTCCTACCAAAAATTCAGGATGATTTGATGTGTTTGTCCACTTGGCCCCAGAGCTGTGATCTAAAATAGCTGGCCGCATCTGTCTGTTGTATGACCTGGCCTGAAATGTAATCAAAACAAATACCGTTGATTTTACCAGTCATTTTTTATGCATGAAAGAAAAAAGAAACCCCCTAGCCCTTGAAGAACCATTTAGAATTTTTTTTTCCTCAGATCTTTAGATTTAGGTCATACAATAGCACTATCTGTATTTGCTGTATAAAGGATATCTATTCTTCTCCACTAAAATACAGCATCCCACCAAATGACTATATGAATGAACAATTTAATAAAATCTTAAGAATTAGTTACCTGATCAGGTGACACTGGTATACGCCTTGCACCATTTGACATCTTTTTGGACCATATTGCTTGGTCCACCATTTTAAGGCCATTTTGTCTCTGCTCAGTACTTTCAGGTTTCTAAACAAAACCCAAAAATATGTAACGTAAATACTTACTTTCTAACTAGATGTCTGTATGCTGGTAATACTGAAGCTATTATCAAACAATGAAATCATTACTGTAGTTGATAGACTGTAGAAAGGACAGAAGGTTTGCACATTGTACAATGAACATACGCTTATTTTTAAAGAAGCCCTTTTTTATATTAGAGTTCCCAACACCTATCTGTCTAAGTCAACTTGAATCTTTTAACTGATTGCAATGGCTGCTGGTCTTCATCTCCAGAGTGATGAGCTCAGGACGTTATCTATTTAACTACAGAAATATTAAGTAGGAGCAAAAATGTTTAAATAGATCTCACTTACGTAAAGGTAAGGTTTAATATTAGAGAGATTGATTTGATTAATGATTTTTTTGTACAGATTCAAAGTATGAATAAGATCACTACATATATTTTTTTGAGCAGGGTAGACTAAAATTACTGGCTACATTATCCAAGTTACAAGCCAGCTTGTAACCATGCATTCACAAATGGAGCAGTCCAATTCTACTTCTACAGTTGTCAATCTATAAACAGAAATACTGTGTGTGGTATCAGACCACAGAACAGAGAAATCAATGAGTACAAACCCTCAACCTATGAATTTATTAGATTTAGTTAATTGCGAACAAATAAAAGCCCTAACACAGACTGGTGCAAATCTACCGACTTCAGTAAGGTGGCATCTACAGCACATTAAAAGGGAAAAAAAGTTTGTCTCGAGACGTATTCCTCTCTGGAAAAACATAACGCATGAGGAGAAGATACGTATTACACAACTAAAAAATGCAATAGAAACACATCGTTAAAACACCCATTTTAGCAAGTTCGGAGGACGCGCCACCGGTGCGAGGCCCGGCTTACATTGAGCCCGTCCCTCAGGAGCCAGCTGTCTCTGTAGGCCGCCTGTCCTTGCTGCTTGTGCCGCCGCGCGATGACATGGGGAATGCCCACAGGCAGCGTGTCCG